GAGCCTCCAATCAATTTCAATTTGATTTGTTTCTTCAAACTAACTAATTCATCACCTAACATAACAACAGCTTGTTCTAAATCGGAAATCTCCTTATATAATTCAGTATCAATTTGCTTTTGTATAGTCCATAACTGTTCAGAATTATGATGCCAATCTGATACGAAATTCTGTGTTTTGATTTCCTGCATGAGTGCCACACCCGCAGCAGCTGCTGATGCAGTAACTGCAATTATTCCTAAGATGGCAGCAATGATTAGTCCCACAAAACGTTTTCCTCTCTTCAGAATTCTGTCTACCAACAACTGCAATATGGATAGGGCCAGGGATTCTTGCCAAGGTCTGGTCAAATTCACTGGAACCCACATACCGATGCATGCTCTTAGAAGATAAAGTTGTTCCTTCATAGGATCAAAACTCACAGAATTATTCAGACAAGTAAATAGTTGACACTTAGGACAAAACAATTCTCCTGTATTTTTATTCCAATTAACATTTCCTTTCAGCCACACAAAAGGTAATTTTAAACAAGCCTGGATATATTTTACTTCTTGTACTTCAAATTTCATTTCATATGGTACAGAAGTATGGCTAGTATGTTGAAACAGACCAGCTGCTCAAGCTTTGAGTGGCTGGAGGGCTGCTGTAATTTTCCACAAATGATTCTGTTTAGGATAGCCAATTATTCCTGGTGCTGGAGGTGAAAACTCTCCATTTACCCATTTGGTAGCTTTAGAAGATTGTACACTAGTTTTACTTTTATTTGATGGATACATAAATCAATTAATAGAAAGATCAAATGGTACATGAATAGGAAAATCAAATGGTAAAATCTGAAGGATCTTCAAGAATAGCTCGAGGTCCCCAGTCAAAAACTTCTCCAGAGGAGGCATTAAATAACAAAAATTGCTTATCACCTTTACATTTTGACCAATGTATCCGATCTTTAATTTCTTTAAAAACATGCATGGAACATGTGGACATTTCTACATCTACATTGGCAGCAACTGTAATATTTCTTTTCAAAGAATAAGCACTTAACATATATAATTCCTGAATTAATTCAGTGTGGGATGGTGTTCTTTTAACATCATGTTTACTAGTCCAGAATTGCAAAGCCATATCTAAACAATGAGGTTTATATCCAAAACAAATAGGAGGTCCTGTTACTCCAGATGTATAATTATTTAAAACCATCCCTTCTTCAGGTTTAAAAGGGCTTCTAATGTCATAAGGAGCTGACATCCATATATTTTTAATTACATCTTTATAATAAACTGGTTGATTAAGGGGAGGTGAGGTCACAGTTACCTAATGTTTATAAGCTGGCATTTCATTTTTCTCATTCATATTTAAAAAAATTTAAGGTGAAAAATGCTGAAGATAATCTCTTTCGAGGGGTGATGTTATACTGTTCTCCTCTTTTTTCAATTTTAAGAGTATTTCTTTTAAAGTTTAATTTTGTGATCTTTTTTCTTTTGCCTTTTTTTCTTAAATTTTTATGGCTGGGGCTGGGTTTAAACCCATCACCTCTGTCAGCACTCTACTTTTTGAGTTAGAGGCACCGTCCAAATGTTTATGTTTCTCTCTCTCTCTCTCTTTTTTAATGCAATTTTTATTTTATTTTATTTTTTGCAATTTTTATTTATTTTTTAGAGACAGAGTCTCACTTTATTGCCCTCTTCTTTAGCTGTATTATTATTGCTGACGTTGCTATTGTTTTCGCAGCATTCTTTTCTAGTATGTTCCAGTTTTTCACAATTAAAGCATTTAGGTTTATCCTAAACCACCTGCAAGGCCGCAGTTATGGTTTGTAGTCGCTATAGCTTGCAAACTGGCCTGAAAAATACCAGAACTGACCTCCCAGTACGAGGTATTGTTCTATGGTCACATTTTCCTGCTTTTTTACGCCCACTAAGGCCTGTTACGTTCATGTTATTAAATGCCAATTGCATGAGGAGCATACATTGTGCCTCTGGGCCAGGAATAGAATGTTTGATGGCTGTTTGTAATCTAGCAACAAATTCAGTAAATGGTTCATTATTACCTTACATTATTTTTGTAAAGAATTGTTTAACACCATCTACTTCATCTAATTTTTGCCAGGAGCATAGGCATACGTTGTTTACTTGTAAAAGTATGTCTTGTGGTAATTGTTAATTGCATTCTGACAGCCTCATGCTGACCAGAGCCAGTTAATTGATTGACTGTTGCTCCAGTCCTGCGAGCTTGAGCTTTGGCTTCTTCTTGCCACCAGGATTTGAATTGTAAAAATGGACCTGCACTTAGAGAGGTTTTAGCTAGGGTTTCCCAATCAATAGGTAAAAAATGGTGATCTGTACAGTAGGCAGATAAAATGGCAATTACATAAGGAGAAGTAGGGCCATAAGTATGAACAGCCTCTTTTAAATTTTTGAGAAATTTTAGCTCAATTTGAATATGGGTTGCAGGTCCTCGGCTCCCCTCCGGTAGAACTTCTTTGTAGAACTGGAAAAGCGGCTGGAGCCAGGGCTGAAGAAGTAGCAGCCATGTCAGGAAGCTCTGTGATGGAAATAGGTGGTTCATTAAGCACCTCTGATTCAGAGACTTCTAATGGAAAATGATACCTGGCCATAAATCTGGAATCTCCAGGTGTATTCCAAATTGCATAAATGCCTGGTAGAGAATGAGGATGCCACGGCCCATCTCTCCACGGCCCATCGGGAGGAGGGGCTGTGGGCTCCGATGGTTTATGTGGAGG